ATTTCAAATAGGTACTTGAGACCAAAAAAGATTATAATGATAGCATTAAAACTAAAAAAGGAATTAGTTTACAGAAGTTCCCTGGAATAACTAAGTCTTACATCAGCTCCAAGACAAGTAGTGAAGAGAATCAAATCAGGAAGACAAATATAGTAATGAAGCATTTATTGATGATAAATGGAATATTAACTTCCACTTACTCAGTCTGAACAGAACATGTGGATACCTTTAGCCTGCTTAAATGCTTAAAGAGTCAGAATTATTCAGGTGAATATAAAAACTCGAGTATAGCACACTAGGTTGTATGGGCGACCTGTTACTCTGTGAGTGGAGGATTGTGCCTTGTCGTACATAGGCTGCAATCCAAACTCTGCATTCAGAGGCATGATTCGGTTAGCATGGAGTTCCAGGTTACGTGTGTTAGCTGAGTTGTTGTCAAACGTGAGAAAATCTGAAATGTTTTCACTGCAAACCCGGCTAAGATTCATGGCTTGCTGTTTGCTGCAGGCCAAATCTGTGCATCCGTGCTGTTGTTGTGGTTCAGCTGACGCGAAGTAGGCAGAACGCTCGACCGTGGCTCTGAGTCCTGGGTAGGACGAGAAGGCCGCGTAGGCAAAGGTACCTGGCTGCTGGAGAAGTGGGAACAGAAGACGAGATGAGGTGGTGGGTTTGCAGAAGAGGCTCACACAATGTTAACATCTCTTTATCAGTAACACTTTCATTATGTGATTTGTTTGGAAGGATAGAACACAAAGACATGGCATAAGGGGGAATTTGGAGTGGGTTGAAGGAGATGCAGGAGCAGGTAGTCTGACGGTTTCTGTAGAGGCTACTGAAGGCCTTAGCGAGCACTACTTTGTTCTGTGAACTTTACCTGGGAATAATAGGCTACCGTAAGGAGAGAGGGAGAAAGCAGAGAAACATACTTATTTCTAGCCTTCCAAAAAGAGTGTATGAGAAAGTGTTTGGCTGTTACTTCTTCCTCTTTGCTCACAGTGGAGAAGTTAACTGCTGTGGAATGGGAAATCTGTCTCCATATTAAATGAAGTAGAAAAGAAGGGGAAGGGTTCCTTGGAAATTTAGAAAACATATGGTGACACATGCTTTCTTTAGAAGCTCAAAGATAGGTGGTAGAGACCTTACACCACATTTCTGTATGATGAATAATTTCCTTGAAAAAAGGAAGCTGACAGCATTGAGTTGGAGGTTTCTTCAATTTTCACTAGAGCAGTGAAGCAGGGAAGTAAAAGTGTCCGATCCCTGGTTTTAGACAGGAAGAGATGATCGTTACCCTGAAAGGATAACCTTTTCCTTGTCTTGCTCCTGGGAGCCCTGAGTGTCCTTGGGCAGGAACTCTTCAGCTCCTTGCTGCCAAGCCTTTGTTTCACCAGCCAGCAAGAAGAGAGTGCGCTGAAAGAGGGCAGTGCTCCCTCTGCCTAGCAGAAGCTGTGGAGGGAAAATGTCTTTTCTTTTCAGCTCTGCTTTCTTCCAGTTTAATTTCTGGGCTTGAAGAAGAAACAAGCTTGCCCTCATAACTCCAGCCTAGCTCTTGTGACTAATTGAAAGGGAGCAAAGTCATGGAGAGTTTACATGCATCAACACCCAGCCTTGGAAGTCATTAGTGGTTGACTGAGCAGTGGTGGCTGTCCTTGCTCATGTTCTTAGTCCCCAGCAAATGGCTGCTTTCCTCTTAGAAGGGAGTTGCATTACTTTGCTCTTGTCAGCAGCCACTGTGGCTTGGCTTATCATAGAATACCAGGTTGGAAGGGACCTCAAGGATCATCTGGTCCAACCTTTCTAGGCAAGAGCACAGTCTAGATGAGACGGCCCAGCACCCTGTCCAGCTGGGTCTTAAATGTGTTCAGTGTAGCAGAGTCAACCACTTCCCTGGGGAGATTATTGCAATGATTGACTGTTCTCATTGTGAAAAATTTTCCTCTTGTGTCCAATCGGAATCTCCCTGGCAGTAACTTGTACCCGTTACCCCTTGTCCTCACCATCTGACTCCTTGTAAAAAGGGAGTCTCCATCGTCTTTGTAGCTCTCCTTTAAGTACTGGTACATGGTGATGAGATCACCTCTAAGCCTCCTTTTCTCAAGGCTGAACAAACCCAGCTCTCTCAGCCTATCCTCATACGGCAGGCTTGATCACCTTGATCACCCTTGATCACCTCGGTGGCCCTTCTCTGGACCCCCTGTCCACATCTTTTTTGTATAACGGGGACCAGAACTGTACGCAGTATTCCAGGTGTGGCCTGACAAGCGCTGAGCAGAGAGGGATAATGACTTCTTTGTCTCTGCTGGTGATGCCCTTTTTGATGCAACCCAACCTCCTGTTGGCCTTCTTGGCCGCAGCAGCACCCTGTTCACTCATGTTGAGCTTCCTGCCCACCAGGAGCCCCAGGTCCCTTTCCACAGAGCTGCTCTCCAGCCAGGTGGATCCCAGTCTGAGCTGCACTCCTGGATTATGTTTTCCCAGGTGCAAAACCTTACTCTTGTCCTTGTTAAACTTCATAAGGTTCTTGTTAGCCCACTCTTCCAGCCTATCCAGATCTTCCTGCAGGGTGGCTCTCCCTTCCAGAGTGTCTACTTCCCCACTCAATTTGGTGTCACCTGCGAACTTCAGGCTACACTTGATCTCGTTATCCAGATCGCTTATGAAGATATTGAATAGCGTTGGGCCCAGTATCGATCCCTGGGGGAACCCACTTGTGACGGGATGGTGCATGGTGACATTAAGCCACCACAGCTTGATTGTGTCTGTGAGCCGAAGTTACTGAGAGGTAAAGCAGGGAGTTTTTCTCCATGCTAGGAATACTGTAGGTCCCTAGGCAGTGAGAGGTGGCTTCTTGAGGAAAATGCACTCCTAGAAATTGTCTTTATGAAACAAAAGCCTCTAACAAGACTCAAAGCTTCATCAGATCAGAACAGTGTTTCATCTTGCCTAGCATCCTGCCCTCTGGTGGTCTCCAAACACAAATGTTGGCGCTCCTGGGTTCTTATCTTTTCTGGAAATTGATAATTGAGATGGGTGGAAAGAGACGCTCATATTGCAGCAGCAGGAGCAAGTGAGATGTTTAAAGCTGTTTGAACAGGATAGAAGACAAAGAAAGGCAGGTGGGTTGTGTTGAAAAGATGCGGGAGTGATAGCTGAGCCCTCTCTACCCTGTTTACTTTTCCAGTTCCTGTGCCTGGAAAAGGCCACAACATAACTGCAGGCAACAAGAACTAGAAACTGTAATGGCACGAGAAGAGTACTTTCATGGGTAAATTGCAAAGAAATTGGATAGTCCATGAGAAGTAAGGCATGGAGAAGACCTTCTGTGTGTGCAGTTCTGTACCCAAGCACAGAGGAGCGTGTTTCCCATTGCTTGCCTTCAGTCTCCTGCCTGAGAAAGTCTTTGTTTCTGTGGTGTGGCACCAGGCAGAACAGCAGGACACTTAGTATGCTGATGATGTTCTTTGCCGATGGGGAACCTAATCTTCCTAACGACTGGCCTGGCTGACCTCCTGGCTTGCTTTCATATGGACAGGAGATAGGATGTGGAGCAAGATGGGCTATAGTTTGTTTTCTGGACTCATATACAGTAAAGGGAAGTGACTTGTTGTTTTGATGTGATAAAGCTATATATCTGCATTAATTCATGAACAGTAGTAAGTTTTCATACGATGATGACTTGAGAAGCAAGAGAAGCACAGAATGGTATAGATATTGTGGTGGGTTCATGACTTGATGCCATTTAGGAAGCAAAAAAAAAATCAAAACCAAAACAAACACAAAATAGTAGCTCTCACTTGGGAGCAGTTGGCTTGAGGAGCAGGCTTCTGAAATATTTCTCTTTCACCATGCACAGTTACTGTTTAAAGGGAAGTTTTCCGTGGCACATATTGGGAATCTTGCCTTAATATGAGGCCTCATTTATATCTTAATCATGCCCTTCCTTCAACTTAGTAGTAAAAAGTTACCAGCTACCATGGAGCGGAATTGAGTCCTTAGTGCAAGTGTAACTTGAACTCAGTATTGACGTGTTTTTGTCTATGTCTACGTGCACGTCTGCCACGGCAGCGGTCTTGTGATTTTTTTTAGTCATTTAGAGGTATTTGGAAGTAGGAGATGATTGCTGAAGACTGAAGCGGGGACACAGAGATGCTAATGGTTTACAGTATCCCTTCCCCACAGCACAATTTGGTCTCATCAGTAGATTTTCTTTTTTCGCACATGTAGCTGTTTTTAATAAAAACTAAAGAAAATTTCTTATCCCTATTCTTTTTTGTTGTTGTTTGTTTATGTATATTGAATGTCTGGGCCTTTTTTAGCAGAATATGATTGATTCGAAACCGATAGCAGTTAGGGTTTCTGGACAGCTCCCATTTCTTGCTTGCAGCTCTGCTGGATCTCGGAGATTGGGGTGCAGTTTCACATACGTTGGCTTTGAAATAAACTGGCTTAAGTGACATTTCCAAAGGAGATCCCTAGTATCCCCATGATTTCAGAGCAGGTGCTTTGAACTGACTAGCAATTTTGTGTCAGAAGTGTACTTTTTACTAACTCTGTGAATATTCATGCTGGAAAAATTGCAGTTTATTTGCTCAGCAGGATCTTCAGTCTGGGCATTCTGCAACAAGATGCTGAGAGATTTTGCTGGTGACAGCAATTGTTCATTTCATCTTTTTCACCAGACCACGGGCAGGAGGCCTAATTCAAGTGAACGGAGGGAAAGTATGAGGATAGAGGAGCTTAGGATAGGAAAGAAGATCAGGACAATGATTCTACCTGGGACCAGAATGTAGAAACTGGATCCCTTTGCAGTGCCTGCCACATGATTGTGCAGACAGGCTGGGTTTGGGTAATGTCTTAGCTGACACATGCCTTACTTTGCAACATTGTGATGTGCTTCTAACCTGAATTTGAACGTATCTGATAATGCATACAGCATTAGTCAAGCAATAGTTTATAAAACAATTGTTGAAGTAGCTTTTTTTTCTTTTTTTCCCCTGTAGCACATATCCACTGTGAGGACGTGTTTGGCATCGTGGGAGAAAATTTTACTTTTCCAGTAAAAATAGACCAAAAAATAACGGAAATTATTTGGACGAAAAACAAGGATAAAGTGGCTGAATGGGAAGGGCAAACCAACCCGACATATTTTACTTCTCTCCGTAACAGAGGCTTGCTTAACAAGGATTATGGGTCCTTGACTATATTTAACTTGGAGAACGGTGATGCTGGCACATATGTGTTAGACTACTTCGATTCTGGGAAGAAAAATTATGACTTAACCTTCACACTTGCTGTGTTAGGTAAGTAGCGGAAGAACTGCATAAAGGATTTGTACCACTTTATTCACTTTAAGAAGGCTGGAAAGGGGATTGTTTATTTGTCAGGGAAGCAAACAGAAAGAGAGGGGGGCTGTTCTTTGACTCTATTGTTAAGTTGCTTAGGCACTTTAAACAAATTTTTAAAGGTGGCATCTAATTTGTGTGCCCATCATTACTCACCTTAGAATGACTTCTAGAATGTGTGTAGATGGCATACTGTATACTTCCAGGTAGATAACCAAACTCATTGAGCAAGCTGACCAAGTTATCCCAGGCATTATGTATCTACTAAAGATGCTCCTGCAGGCATATTATACGTGCTTGAATATCTGTGGCATCATCCGGTGGAGATCTGCGCAGCTTCACTAGTAGTCTTTGGGAAATATATTTGACCTGTGTGTCTATTAGTCCTATTGGCAATGAACCATGAGGAGTCTTAAACTAGGCACTGAAGAACCATGAACAGGGCCGCTTTTAAAAATACATTTCTCTATCACGCACATGCACGCGCACGTACACATGCAGACCTTACACATACACTTTTATCTATGCACTCTCCTGCTGCTTTTGTTGCTCCAGCCTTTGTCCCGTGCTAAAATTCAAGGCAGTTTATAACCAAAGTAATACAGAATATTTTCTCTCCTTTTAGATCCCCCTTCAGAACCTGAAATAAGTTGCAACATCAGTGGTGATGACATCCTGTTAAAATGTACAGCAGATTTCCAGCAGCCTCTACGTTACACTTGGAAGTTAGGTAGCAAGTCAATCACTCAGCAGACCCAGGAAGTTGTAATCTCTAAGGCGATTGTTGATGCTTCCAAGAAAGCTTCGTGTTTCATTAATTTCTCTCAAACGGAAAAGAGCTCTGAAATCTCTTTCACTCAATGCTTTCCAGATAACACAGGTAATGAATGGGTCAGGTTGTATATGCAAATCGGAGAGGCTAGATTGGGAAGCAGCATGGACTTTGACTGTAAGATTTCTACTGACTTTTCAGGAAGTTGGATTTAAAGAGTAAAAAACATCAGAAGTGATTTGTCTGCTGAAAGTGTGTTTAAAGGTTGGTGAAAGGTATGAGGTTGACAGTTTGATCCTCCAAGAAAGATACTTTTTGCAGGGATCTCAACAGAATAAAACCTTTAGCTGTGACTTGAAATGAGTAATAATAAAGAGGGAGGCACACTTAGAAGATCTCTTCTGAACCTTCTGGCCTTGTGTAACTAATGCTAATGACTGTTGTGCTCTTTGTACTCCTTTCCATGAACTGAAATGAAACTATTCAGTCATTTTAAGTGAGTAATCTAGCACCCGTTAGGTAAATAATTTCTCATGTAGCGTATGCATGAGTCGGTGAGCATACTTCTTTTTCTCCTTCACAGACATATAAAAAGGAGAAAAGAGAGTTTTCCTGCTGTTGCTTAATGCTTTGGGACAGCCTCACGTCAGCTTGAGGCTTGCCTTTTCCCCCTCCCCCCAAACACAGGATGAGAACACATTTGGAACCATCTGGTTTGTAGGGTGTGTAAGGCAGTCCCTAACTGACAAAATTTCCTACTTCTGTGCAAAAGTAATTTTCATGGTTTACCAGTATAGAATTCTTCTTCCTTCACTGGAATTATGTGTTAGAGACTTGTTAGAAATGAAGTGTGTGGTGGGTTGACCTTGGTTGGCTGTCAAGTGCTCGTCAAGTTGCCCTATCGCTTCCCCTTCCCAATGGGACAGTGGGGAGAAAATATGACAAAAGCCTCATGGGTTGAGATAAGGGCAGGGAGATTACTCAGCAATTAGTGTCATGGGCAAAACAGACTTGACTTTGGGAAAATTAATTTAATTTATTGCTAATCAACATCAGAGTAGGATAATAAGCAACAAGAACAAATCTAAAACACCTTCCCCCCACCCCTCCCTTCTTCCCGGACTCGACTTCACTCCCGATTTCTCTATCTCCTCCCCTCGAGCAGCGCAGGGGGACGGGGAATGGGGGTTGCGGTCAGCTCATTACACGTTGTCTCTGCCGCTCCTTCCTCCTCACGCTCTCCCCCTGCTCCAGCGTGGGGTCCCTCCCACGGGAGACAGTCCTCCACAAACTTCTCCAACATGGGTC